AGTCCGCTAAAAATCACATCCACATGTTGGAAGCCGGCGTTCATAATCTATTTGATGCATTAGTCAAAGCTACGAGCACCGCTGCTCTGAAAGTTCCTGTAAAAACAAAAGATGGTGAAATATATATCCCCGAGATGACATTAAATCAGTGTAAAATGCCACCCCTAATTACACGATCAAATAAAGGGTATGCTTATATAGAGATTAGCAATCCTACTTGTAATGACATAATCATTAGCCTGACGGCTCCGCTGAATACAGTTCCCCTTGAAAGAAATTTTGATTGATTGAAATTTCAACTTTGAAACCCCTTTACCTAAATCCACAGACATTGAATCTCTTTTAAGAACAAACCACATGAACGCTGAAGAGAAAGAAAAAATCACGAAATTATGTAAAGATTATAGTGACATTTTTCATTACGAAGATTGCTCTCTCACTTTCACAAACACAATCAAACACAAAATTAAAACCACAGACGAAATTCCCGTATTCACAAAATCATATAGATATCCATATATACATAACGCTGCGGTTCAATCTCAAATAAAAAAAATGCTTCAACAGAAAAGTATACAGCCATCTGAGTCCCCATGGTCCTCTCCAATTTGGATTGTGCCTAAAAAACTTGACGCTTCCGGACACCAAAAATGGCGTCTTATTGTAGATTACAGAAAGTTAAACGAAAAGACAATCAGTGACAGGTATCCGATTCGAAATATATCCGATGTTCTCGATAAATTGGGCAGATGCTTATATTTCACCACTCTCGATTTGGCGAGTGGTTTCCACCAGATTGAAATGCATCCAGATGATATACAAAAAACAGCATTTACTGTAGAAAATGGGCATTATAAATACCGTCGCATGCCTTTTGGGCTGAAAAACGCCCCTTCCACATTCCAAAGAGCCATGGAAAAGATACTCAGTGGATTAATCAATGAAATCTGTGTCGTATACATGGATGACATGATTATTTTCAGTACCTCGTTACAGGAACACATTACAAACATTGAAAAGGTCTTCCAGCGCCTTAGAGAGGCTAATTTTAAAATACAGCTCGATAAATCGGAATTCCTTAAACACGAAACTGCCTATTTTAGACACGTAATCATTCCAAACGGTATCAAACCAAACCCAGATAAAGTTCGTGCCATAAAGAATTTTCCAATTCCCACCAACACTAAAGAAATAAAATCATTTCTGGGACTCCTCGGTTATTACCCAAAATTTATACCGAATTTTTCGAAACTTACCAAACTTTTAACATCATGTTTGAAAAAGGGAGCAAAAATAAATATTCAAGACCCAATTTATGTAAGAACCTTTAAGCTTTGTCAAGAACTTTTGATGAACGATCCAATTCTCAGTTACCCAGATTTCGACAAAGAATTTATTGTCACTACAGACGCCTTTCAGTATGCCCTTGGTGCTGTGTTATCCCAAGGTGCAATAGGTTCTGAGAAACCAATTGCATTTGCTTCCAGAACACTTAACGATAACGAAATCAACTACAGCACCACTGAAAAGGAACTGCTTGCCATTGTTTGGGCAACAAAATACTTCCGCCCCTATTTATTTGGACGTAAGTTCACAATAGTAACCGATCACCAACCCCTTCGTTGGCTAGTTAATTTAAAAGAACCCAACTCTCGTCTTACAAGGTGGAAGCTTAAACTTGCAGAATACGACTACAAGGTTGTATATAAAAAAGGTACATCCAACACAAATGCAAATGCATTATCCAGGGTTGCAATTAACAATAATGAGACAACACACACTGACGGTAATAAGTCCGTTTCCGAAATGCTTGATGACATTTTATCACTTATTGGAAATGTTTCCGAAATACCCGATTTAGATAATTTGGAATTAGATCAGTTACAGGAGGATACAGTTCATACTAATCAAGAACAACCCATTCTAGAAATTCCTATTGTCGAAAAATCTGTAAACACTCATAAAAATAAAATCTTCATACAAATTGTTTTACACTCACCATCTAAAGTAAAAATAAAAGAAATATTTCCTGGTAAAAACCGTATCATGGCTCAAATAGGCTTGAACAATTTCACTGAGGATACAATTGATTTATTCAAACATTTCATACGACCCGATATTCAACACGGCGTTTGGCTTTCAGACTTCAAATACTTACCTGATCTAACTAAAGCTCTACAAACATTTTTCAAAAATTCTGCTTTCGACTTAGTGTTTTGTAAACAAAATCTAAAAGACATTACTGACAAAGACGAACAATATCGTCTAGCAAAAGCTTATCATGAAGGAAAGTCGAATCATAGAGGTATAGTGGAAACTGAAAAACAGTTAAGGCGTAATTACTATTGGCCAAATATTCCTAACACTGTAACAGAAATTATAAACAACTGTTCTTCTTGCCAGACTAATAAGTACGAAAGACATCCTAATAAACAAAGTCTCCAGTTTATTCCAATCCCTACAAAGCCATTAGAAATTATTCATATAGACACTTTTCAAATCAAAGGTCAAAAATTTCTGACAATAATAGACAAGTTCTCGGAATATGCACAAGCATACCCCCTTGAGAGCATGTCAGGAGTAAGCGTCATTAAGGCACTTACAATTTGGATGACACATCATGGCTTACCTTTGAATATTACCGCCGATCAAGGTACGGAATTTAAAAATCTTCCTCGTAAAGAATTTGCTGCCTTACATAAAATAAACCTACATTTTACCAGTGTCAATAATCCGCAATCCAACGGAGATCCAACGGACGATTTTAGAACATATTCCTTTAATCCAACAAAAGCACAAACAGTCCCCAATTATCGAAGTAATGCTGTTTGCCGTGCTAGCTTATAATAATTCAATACATTCTGCAACAGATAAAAAACCAATTGAAATTATTAACGGCCATTTAGATAACAGAGATCCATTCGATCTCCAACTTGAGAAACAATATCTTCAAAATTATATAAACAAACATAAAGAAATAACCGTCGATATGTACGCAAAAATTAACGAACTTTTAAATTCGAAACAAATGGCTACCATAAACAAACGCAATGAAAAATTGGAAGCACCTCTTGATTATGAGGAGGGCCTTGCAATTTATCCAACTAATCCCCTTGCTGCTCGTCACAAAGATCAACCTCGTTATATAACTAGAACAACTGCCCGAGATTTAGGAATAAAGGTAGCAGACATCAGAGAATAAAAATACCATAAACGAAACATAAGGAGACCCCTGAAAATGCAACATTCTTTGTTACAGGACGATGGTGAGCTACCCGGCACGAGCCGAGAAAGCCAAACTAATGCCAATGACAAATAGCCCCGGAATATTGCCATTCAAGTTAGGACTATCAAAAATTCGACAGTGTGATCATGTTTTTTTTACATTTTATGGATTTAGATTCTATAAAAGATCATATAAAAACCATTCAAAGTCAAATTTTTACTCTTGACGTTTTAGTTCACGATTTAAGTAAAAATTATAAATTTAGATTTTTGTCTCTGCAAGAGTATATTACGGATAGGTTAGATAGTATTTTAGATAAGTATAATTCTCTAAGTAAAACTAGATTTAGAAGAGCTCTTATAGATGGCCTAGGTACTTTGATTCATAGTATTACTGGAAACTTAGACCAAAATGACGCACTGAGGTACAATACTGCCATAAGTATACTACAGAGAAATCAGAACAATCTTGCTCATGACGTTAATCAAGCAATAACCCTAAACAAACTATTTCTGGAAAACTTTAATAGTACCATATCGACCATTGTACGTAATCAAAATAAATTATCCTGAAAATCTCTGAACTTATTAGATACACAAATGTTTCAGAACAAACATTTATTGATTTTGTTAAATTAGACAGCTCTTACAAATTATTAGAAATAAACATACAAATTATTTTTGACACCTGATCCAAGCTGGAAACTGCCATTTCTCTGTCAATAAAACATACAGCGTACCGTAATCTCATAACGTTTTCAAATGTAGAATATTTTATATCAGAACTTAATAATTATTACATGCCTGATCAATTTATTACCTCCGATGTGAAAGAATCTCGTCTATTTTGTAACTTCCTAGATGTAAGCTCTTACTTTAGCGATAATAAGTTAGTATTTGTCATTAAAGTACCAATATTTTAACGAATCTATATAACGAAATATTTTAAGAATATATTCACATATTATTATTTGTTCCCTATCCCTACTTTTAATAGTACCATTCTAATTCCTAATAAATCCTACTTAGTTATGAACAAAAATGCGTACCAGTATTTAGACATTCCATGCAATAGAGTCGAAAACATCCACTACTGCCAAAGCGTAATATCCTTCTGCAAAAAGCAAAACATATAATATATATATATATATAACCACCCAGAAACTAACGTCGCAATGCCAATATCACCAAATCAACATTGAACAAGAGATATTTGAAATGATTAATAACGAATATTACATTATTTTTAGTCATAACTCTACAAAACTACGCATACAGTGCGTTCAAGACGAATACTTACAAATAAAAGGTGTATACTTACTCCGGCTTCCAGAGAATTGTAGTGCATCCAATGAAAAGCTGAAATTCATAAATTTGCATAATGTCTTCAACCGAAAACCTATTAAATTGTTTGCTACGATAAAGCGAAAATTAAGGATCCGCTACAACGACTGAAAATTGATAATGTAAATTTGAAACAACTCCATAATACTCTTGGATTTTTAGAACGAGAGCAACACGCTGTAAAATTAGAAACCTGGAACCTCCAGCCTCATTTATACTGGACTACATCGCTGTACATCATTTCTATTTTAACGGCTCTATATGTACTTTATGCCAAATGGAAAAAATGGAATATAACTAAACGTAATATTGAAAATGTAGAAACCAGAAATCCTGAAGCGGCCCAAAACGAAGCTATTCCTCGGTCTCTCTTCAGCTAAGCTGAAGAAAAAAACCTCTGTTCCAGTGGGGAGGTGTTATGTAAACTTTAGCTAGTTCTTAGTAAACCTGGCCTGCATCAACGCCTCGATGCCATAGAGTCCAAACATGAGGTTGCATTTCCTGTCCGATAACGCGCTCTGCGCCGGAGCATTGATGCATCTTGACTGTACTAAAATTGTGAATTAAAATAAACTTTTCTTTTATAAAAAAAATATTTTTTTATGTAAGCTCTCCGAAAGAGCTTAACTCGCGCGAATGCACATACACGCATACACACAGCCCCACACACACACACACACACACACACACACACACACACACACACACTCACTCACACACACACACACATACACACACACATACACACACACACACACACACACACACACACACACACACATACACACAATTAGTTGTTTAATTTAAGTTTATAATGTAAGTCAAACAATCATATTCCATAGCTTAGGTAGAGTAAATTATACACTTCAAAACGTTACTTTTGAAAACTTAAATGCTATGAATTCACTTTGAAGCTAATTTATGTGCAACCTGGAGCCATGTCATATTTCCCTGCCTAGTCTGTCACATAATCTTCAATTTTGTAATATGACATTTGAATTAAAATTTTAATGTAGTTTTTAAATTGAGGAAATGATAATCTTATCTAATTATATGCTCCGGAATCATATTGTAAAAACATATACAGTTCCCCATAAAAGGATCGTTTGTCATGATTAAACGAAATCGTGGTACCAGGAAGAAATAAATAATTTTGTATTTTGTATTTGTATTTTGTATGTTATTAAAAATTAAGCTCAAATTTCTTTGCAAAAACATTTCTGACTTCTGAGACGGATCACTTGGGAATATATCTACTTTCCGATGTCGCAAAGCAACAAGCTCGCATTTAACGACCCTTTACAAAATTCATTCAAACCTGCCGTCGCGTTCCGAGTTTTCTAAATTGGAAACATTCTATTAGGTCTCGTAATACGAATTTATTTGCCGATTATTTTAGTGTTTCATATTTGTGATCAATTTATAAGGACTACGCACTAATCGGAAAGAGTGCACATACATAACATGATAACACACTAGTATTTATGTAGTCTGTGTGATAACTATTGGCTTGCCAAAAATTAACTTTTTATATTATTTATAAATAATTATAAAATCGTTTATTTATTTCAACACATCAATAAATAAATAAACTACTTTGTACAGACTTTAGCAACACATAATAGTAGTGGGAGATAAAAAGGTATATAGTTCAGCACAATGGCGGAGCGTTTCTCAGCGCCGCGAGCCGCTGATAGTCTGCTGCAGCCCGATGTTAAAAAAGAAATGAACTAATACACATATCAACCCAGTTCAACATTTTTTTCCTACAGATTATTAAATACTTAACACAATATTATGAATAATTATAGTACAGATATTGTAATGTAACTTAGCAAATCCCTAAGCTCGGACAAAATACCACATACGAAACCAGTGTTTAGTATTCTATTAATAATTAAGTAAATTCCACCCTTAAAATGTACATTCAAAATGTGTGCACTGTAAGTCGAGAAGTACCCAATTATAGTTTCAGAGAAATTAGCAACGTTTAGGTCTGAGCGAGACGAGAATGGTGGTGAACCGTACCGTGTCGGTTGCGGAAGTGTTTATATTTAAAGTTAGTTAATTTAGCCAAAGTAACCTTTATTTAATATAACAGGTAGTTTTCTTGTTGTTCCGTATTGTTGTTTGGTGATCTGCGTGAGAATGTAAATCTTATATTAATTTATTACGTATATTTTTGATTGCAGAGATATTCATCAAGTTCTTAGGTTTTGGTGATTGTTGCACATTGAAAATGAAACTATTTTTTCGGACCTAAGTTGAGTATACGAGAAGCCATCGAGAGCACAAAGTACTAAACGTTTAACCGTGAAGATGGATTTAAACTATCTAGTGCGTGGAATTCGGTTCTTAGTGCAATAATAGAAACAAAAATATTTCGACTTCAGTTTCCCGTGTGAATACAGTGAGCGTGGTTTTTCCGAAAATAAGAAAATAACGCCACAAGTAATCGAGATGAAGGTAGTCGTCTACAGCGAAGAAAGAGAGTAGACAGACATGTCTGTTCTTAAAGCTGTCATCTGCCGCTCTGGTCAGTCAAACCGTGACCATGAAGTGCGTAATCGTTCTGAAATATCGAGAAGATAAAAATCATGTCGTGGTATGCAATCTGTATTTAGTGATAATCATTTAGTGATTAACCACGAAAACCTTAAAATCTATAAGTAGCGTATATTGGTTTTTTTTTAAACAAACCAACGTTTCAGATTCTTCTCAGGTTCCATGGTCACGACTGACTGATATAGTAAAATAATCAACAAGTTATGTTTAATATTAATGCAAACCTAAATCGAAACCTATTTTTTACTGTAGTCACAAAAGTGAATAATTTAAATATCTTATGTCATTAAAATTCCAATTTACGCTATATACGTTTTGCGCGAAGCTACCAGTCCGTAGGCCTTTTCTCGGTGCTATGACTAAAAGCGTCAATTTACGGCCAGACTGAACATTTTGCAACTCGTTGTATGCTATACCACACAAGTATCGCTTAATACAGATTGGGTAAACGTTCAAGCAACGTGACTTCGTTACTGTAATTCAATTACGAGACTAAGGAGCTATCTTGTTCTGCTTTCTAAATAGAAACTCGTAAATATGTAGCATCATGGAATCTAGTCAGGCATTGTATTGCCTGTCACAGGGCATGCAATTTTCAAGACTTTGGACTTGTACCTTACTCAACGCTAATAACACTGATTTAAAAGTAAGTCGTAAGGTTAATTAATATTAAAAATGTACTTATTAGTCAATTTAAATCAATCAGTATTCAATTTTATTTTACAATCAGTGTAATAGAAATGTAACAACGCAAACATTAAACAGTAATCCCGAGAAACTTTGCAAATTAATATAAACCGTACAGACTAAAAACTTCTGCAATAGAAAAGTTTCCTAGCTGCTAAGCTAATCCATTTATATCCACGTACATTTTACTTCGTCAACAAATAATTTAAACCCTTTGAGAGTGTTCTTTGTGCCAACGCAGGCAACAAAGCGATCGAAATGGTTCACTACAAAGAAAAATGACAGGGCACAATAAGTCGCTTCCGTATTCGTTGGAGCCATCGCAATAATTTTACTGCAGTACAAAATGCCAGGAACCTTTTATATGTAAATTATATGTCATAAATATAAGTAATGTACTACAAATTTAAAAATTAATACATATTCAGCATACAGAAACAAATGCCCTAGTGAGTGTGTTTGATGCATTGCGTATATTTCATAGAGCATTGCACCGATAAAAGCAGAAAAGAAAGGTTTACTGAGTTATTTCATGAATAATTCTGCATAGCTCTTTGCGGCGTTATGCCATTCGTGGGTACCGAGCATATATATAGAAAAAAAAGGGGAGATATAGTATGGGGCCGCGGTTCGTGTCGCCTCGATATGGTCATTTTGACCATATCGAGGTGACACGCCTACAAACATCGCCACAGTGACATGGCGATCGTTGTTCATACAAGATCTCTCGTAAAACGTGAAAATGCCAAGTTGTAGCGATACACCTTGTAAAAATTGGAGTGAAAACAAAAATTTTTAAACCAGTGAGATAACATTCAACCGGTTATTTGCATTTTTAGTTACTATTTCTATTATTATTCAATGTTTTCTTTTTGTCTCCATAGAAATTTGTAGACTCAAATATAGTGATGTTTATTTACGATGTATTTATATATTTACGTATGTATATATTTACGATTTATTTATGTTTATCGACAATAAATGTTTACTGAAATGTTTGAATTTTTTACTATGATCTTTGTAATTAAAGCCCCTAAAATATCGAAACGAAAAGAATTCACGTTAAATTGATTTCTTTTATTTTATTATCATTATTATTACTAAACCTTTTATTTCGAGTAACTTTAACACAACTCAAATTTCAACAACAACCACATAATAATAACCGTTTCAATTTCATGTCAATTTGGATGTTGCTGTTGCTTGAAGACAAATTTATGTGTTTTAGATATTTAAATTCCATTATACTCGTAGATTAAACGTAGAGTATTTTTAATTTTTAAGTTATTCCAATGAGATCAAAATAAAAAAAGGTTGGGTTGAAGCTGCAGGAAAATCGAAAGATTGGTTTTCTTATTACTATTTCTGACTTTGTTTCAATTTCCATAGCAAATACATTTAAAAAATAAATAAAATAATATCAGCTTTATTTTACTTGTGCATGCAAAATAAATTAGAAACAATTATAGAAAATTACATAAATCCTTCATAAAAAACAACACAATTTAATTTATTAAATTCGTTGATGGTTCGAGTTTACTCTTGACAGTGACAGCTTCACCAACCCGTGGTAACGTATAATGGAAAATTGACACTGGCGACAGTCGTTTACTCGGAATGCTCTTCCTCTTTTAGTAACTCAATTTTCAGAGGTCCTACCGAATAACAATAGCAGCAAAAGTTGACAGGTGACAAGATAAGTATGTTCCATGGAATTTCTAGGCCATGCGGCAAACTGACAGGTGGCTCGGTACCATAGATATTGGTAGATATTGATATAAAAAGGGGAGATATGTAATGACGCTATGTAAGATCGGGTACTGATGTCGCCACTTTTTAGCTTGTGTGCAATTCAAACTTTACGCTCTATTATCTGCTACAATAACTTAAAGATTTTGATTGGGTAGGGCTTAAAACGTGAAAACGACGTAACACAATTTTAAAATTTAACAAAATTGAACTTACAGTTACTTGAATAAGAGTTATATTACAATATTTCATTATTTTGTCATCCTGGTTCAGCCATTCACCATCAGTTAGCGTTTTAATAAAAATGCTACTAGCATATAATAGCTAACTATTGCACGTTAGATGGCGCTGAACTAATTTTTCGTTACACTATGAACTCACTGAGCGGTTTTCACCCTCAGGACCGCGGCATCTGTACAATGTAATAGTTAAGTATGTAAAATTAGTAGCACATTTCACGGCGCGTTTTATGCCTGTAGTGCTGACGGTTGCTCGCGGTTGCCGCGGCGGGGTACTAGTAGAATCGCACAGGACGTGATCACCTGCGCGCTTGACGGCCATCGTCGCCAGCGCACTTTGAATAGAATAGAATAGAATAGAATAGACATTTATTTGACGGTCGGTTCAGGCTCAACGAGTTCTCTATTAACCGCGCCACTTGCGATTAACTCCCACTAACTTCGCGGTGCGTTCCGCAATCGCAACGGTTTCGTACCCGCAACCGCGACGGCTACGTGCCCGCACAAATTTGCTGGGTCGTGAATATTGAAATAAAACCGCTGTCTCGCAACACCGGCAGGCGTGGATGGAAACGGCTCCGTGAATTGTTAACCTTATTAATCTTAAACTGACGCTACTCAACGAGGGATGTGGTCCTACCTAATCTACAGTTAGAAACAATGTGGCCGTTTTTAATATTTAAAAAATATTCCATTTTTCATACTATACCTACACTGGTACAGGTGTATTATTAAATTAATATATTAATATAAATTATTAATATTTTCTTAATGGCGGCCACTAGGCTTGGGCCGGTGTCATTTTTTTACGAATCATATAAAAAATATGGCAATCGTCGCCAGTGTCAGTTTTCCATTATACGTTATCACGGGTTGGTGAAGCTATCACTGTCAAGAGTAAACTCGAACCAACGAACTTAATAACCAAATTAAGTTCGTTAAAAATAAAATTCGTTAAAATTTAATAAATTAAGTTATGTTGTTTTTTTTATGAAGGATTTATGCAATTTTGTAAAATAAAGCCGATTTTATTTTATTTATTTTTTAAATGTATTTGCTATGGAAATTTAAACAGTAAGAAATAGTAATAAGAAAACCAATCTTTCGATTTTCCTGCGGCTTCAATCCAACCTTCTTTTATTTTGAATTAATTGGAAATACTTAAAAATTAAAAATACTCTACGTTTAATCTATGAGTATAATGGAGTTTAAATATATAAATTATCTAAAACAACATACAAATTGACATGAAATTGAAACGGTTGTCCGAAATTTGAGTTGTGTTAAAGTTTCTCGAAGTAAAAGGTTTAGTAATAATAATGATAATAAAATAAAATAAATCAATTTAACGTGAATGCTTTCCGCTTCGATATTTTAGGGACTTTAATTACAAAGATCATAGTAAGAAATTCAAACATTTCAGTAAACATTTATTGTCTATAAACATCAGTCATCGTAAATGAACATCACTATATTCGAGTTTTGAAATTTCTATGGAGATAAAAAGAAAGCATTCAATTATAATAATAGAAATAGTAACTAAAAATTGAGCCGGTGTCCATAAGTTCCACGTGCACATTGTAATTACGTAGTTGCAACCACATTTCTTTAATGTCATAAATAATGTAATTAACTTTGCTGTTCAAATTTGTGATTTGTAGAGATTTTAAGACGCTCATACTATCCGTCACAATTAGCCACCTGTTAGTGTGTTTGATTTGATTTATAAACTGAAGGACTGTAAGAATAATCAGAGATTCTGCAGAGAAGATACTAAAATATTCTGTTAACTTTTGTCCATAACCGAATTTAAAATGTGGTACATAAAAAGCAAATGAACAAGTAGAGACCGACTTTGAACCATCCGTGTAAACTGGTATCAGATCTTCAAAAGTGAAAATTTTCTGATATATTTCTTCCTTTTTCAAGTTTGTATCAATGTGAATAGGGATGGTAGTATATTTGCTTTCGTAGCTTCCATTAAAACAAGTCCAGTTCTGTTCATTTATGTGTAAAGTATTGCGCAGTTTTATTTCATTAATGTATGAAAAGTCATGAAGAATGAATAGGACAGAAGAAAGATCACTGAAGGAAAAGGAATTAAATAAATTATACATTTTTTTTAAAGGAGATTTGAATTTAACGAACTTGAGTGGAGAAGGAATTAAAGGGGGAACATTACATTCCACCTGCAAGGAGTTAATTGGGGTTGTTCTGAAAGCGCCTGTATTAGCTCTTAAGCTATGATTCTGGAAAATATCTAATTTTTGGATCAACTCATCATTTAATGCAAAGCAAAGGAAACCGTATTCGAATTGCCTGAGGAAGAAAGTGGTTAAAGACTTGTATAAATTCAATAGTATTTTAGGATCTGAACCCCAGTACGTTGATGATAATTATTTTAAAAATTTTAATCCCTTTGAAGCTCGTAGGGTAATGTGCTCGACATATTTGTTCCACAACACGTTTTTCATAAAAGTGACACCTAAAAATCTTACGGAGTAAGCAAAACATAACTCAGAATTGTTGAAAAACATTTGAGAGAGATTAGAGATTTTGTAGTGTTTTCGTTTAATGCCCACTCCATTAAAAATAACTATTTTGGTGTTATCAGCACTAATATCTAAGTTTAAGTACTTAAAATAATTATTTAATTTGCTTAAAGCAAGATTTAATTTATTTACAGTCGATTGTAGATCTGAACCTGAGGAATAAACCACTAGATCATCAATATTTCAGATAATTTATCTGAAAAAAAAAATATTTTTGCAATTTTTATTAAGCACTTAAAGTAATTGTGAACATTTAAGTCAATGTCTGCATCTTATAAAAATAATTTTATTAATAGTAATTAGTAATTTCGTAAAATAGATTTTAGTAAAATGATTTGAAGTAGTGTACACAAGTATATACATACCTATTTGCAATTATTAATCATTAAAGTATGAATTGTACTTTCACATATTAATAGTACATTATGATACAAGTGTGCTAAGTTGGTCATTACACACGAGGCGTTATTACTCGCGCGAGCCGCAGGCGAGCGCGATAAGAAAGCCGAGAGTGTAATGATCAAAGCACACGTGTTTCATACGACGTTTTTCAACACATTTGCGAGGAAAATGAAACAAACTTGAGTAAAATGGAAATGAAAAATAGCTTTATTTGGCATTAATTATACAGATACACTGAATACTATATTAAGCTCACGTTAATGTAAATAATATTATTCTATTCTATACTATATCTATCAATAGCAATTAATTAAGAGTCTCCAAAGCCTATCAAAGTCATTGTATCTTGATTTTATCAAAAATGTAGTTATTTAAATTTAATTATTAAAACAATTGTTAAATGTACAATTTTCAAAATGGTAACGTGCAGTTTTGTTAGGCATTTGAACCGTCTGTGTGATATTATTTGTTACTATTTCATTATTGTCTTCTTGCGTAAAAGTCGGTGATACGGGTTCATTGTGTACAAATATGGATGAAAGTGGTGGTGGTTCATTTAAAGACTCAGAAATAGACAACCTAGGTAACAAATAACTTGTATCACGGGAGGTGGATGGCTGCGGTTCAGGACACATCTTCTTAACCTGGGGCTCCAGATTTATAGCGTGGGTTATTTGAGTACATATGTTGGACTTATTTCGAACTGAATCTTCAACATAAGACTCAGCAACTGTGCTAGATCGCCAGCCACCATGACGCTTTAAAGTAAGCAAATCAGCTCCCGAGTCAGCTAGCAATGTAGCTGATGTTCTTCGGAAACTATGCCCAGTGTATAAATCCGGGTCGGGTAGATTTAAAAACTTGGCAATTTCTTTAGGCATTGCACCAAATTTATTAATGCCTATTGGCTGAGCCACGCATCTACCCTTCTGGTAGTTTTGAAAAAACCGATCGGATTTTGCCTTATCTGTCCTAAGCGCTTCGTACTTTTTTACTATGTCGTAAAATGGACCGTGAATGGCAAACGATCTCGGTACCTTATTTTTAGTGTTGTTAATTTTAATCAAAAGCATTTGGCCATGAGTTTCTACGTCTTTTGCCGTTACTTCGCTTAGTTCTTGGCGTCTACACGCGCCAGTGACACCAAATATCATTGCAACCTGTAAAGAAATTAAAAATATAGGTATTTTCGCAAATATAATACAAGAAAAATGAAAACATAAAAAAATTAAGGTTTAATACGACCAACTGACCTTTGTTGCTAAATACTGATAATCGGGGGCTTCTTTTAAAAACTTTTCGACGTCAGTTGGCGAAAGTACCTTCGATTTTCTTGCAACATACCCATCAGAGCGTCTCTTTAAAAATGCCGTCAGATTTGAATAGTTTTTTATGTCTATGTTATTCTTGTTCTTTACTGTGGTCTTTAACATAGAATAAATGCACCAGAGCGAGCTGGGCTTAAACCTATTCGCCAGTTCATTAAAATAGGCAAGAAAAACATTTTCTGAAAACGAAGACGCTTTTTTGTTGGTTTTCCATTGTATAAAAGTTTCATATGCAGCCATGTATTTTTCTCTGGATTTCGAAGGTAATAAACTGTCACTTGCGTTTTGTGCCTCTGTGAGGATTTCGGGCGGTGTTAAATCCATCAAAATGTTTTCTTCCGTGCTTGAGCAGGACATTTTAAACACCTAGGTAATTATCTAACACACAGCGTATATAAATGTTTCGAACGTATCTGTACAGGTCCGTTTTAGGTACAAATGAAACAATATATATATGTAGTTCAATAACACACCCGCTCGCTCGGCGGTCGTACGGAGAGTGCGGGACACACAGCCAGCTTGCTGTGCCCCCACCGCGGCACGCCTCGCCAGTAGGTGTTACATTTATTAACCATATATTACATCTACCTTTTACCAAATGAAAAAAAAAAGAAAAACAAAACTTGAAGTTACGATGATCACAATAGTTATAAATTGCAAGCAAGTTAATCAAATAATTTCTTTTACTACATTCTATTAATTTCTTACTTTGTTGAACTTTAATTCTTACGTAACATTATTCTCTGTTATATCATTAGAATTTCCTTCATCTGTGCAAACTGTCCAATTTCCTTCAACTCGTTTTAGGTGTACTATATTTCTACGTAGACGCTGGCCATTACTATCATTTTCCACTTCTACATCATTCCCATTCTTATTAATTACCGTATGTGGTGCGTCATTAAACGTGGTGGACAGTTTATTCTCTTTTGTCATATTCTTCACGTAAACTTTCTCTCCTATTTCAATGGTAGACTCAGCTGCATGTCTTTTTCTATCCGCATATTCCTTCCCTTTCATTTTTATTTCTGTGTCTCTGTCCTTCGTCTCTGAGTCTACATCTCCATACTCCAAGTCCACTAACGAGGGTAATTTGTCTCTAAATTGACGCCTGAAAAATAGTTCTGATGGAGTTTTACCTGTGACGGAATGGGGAGTGCTGTTATACATAGTCAGATATTTAAGCAGGTCATCTTGCCAATTAGATTTTAAACTTTGGCTAATCCGTAATCTTTTTAAGATGTCTCGGTTCTGTCTCTCAACCTCGCCGTTTTGTTGAGGCCAGTAGGGAATGCTATGGAACAACCGTATGCCAAATTCGTTACAAAATTTTTCGAATTCTGCACTTGTAAACTGTCGGCCGTTATCGGCAGTAATACTAACAGGTGCTCCTAATCGGGAAAATATTTCTTTCAGAATGTTAATAGTGTGTGTAGCATCGATAGTTTTAGTAATTTTTATTTCCTTATAACGACTGAAATAGTCTACGACTACAAAAAGGTAATGTCCACTAGGCAATGGCCCAAGAAAATCGATAGCCACGTCAATCCACGGCTGGGCTGGAATTTCCCGTCTGCGCATTGGATTAGGGGGATTTGGGGCGGAAACCAGAGTACAGCCTTTACAGGCCCGAACGTAGCTTTCTGCATCTTTATCGATTTTGGGCCACCATACTTTAGACCGTAGGCGAGTTTTCATTGCTACGATGCCAGGGTGCCCTTCGTGAGCAGCTGCTAATACTTTTGATCTAAGCTCCAAGGGAATTACAATTTTATTTCCGCGTAAAAGTAAATCGTCCTGAAAACAAAGTTCATGTTCGAAAATTTTGAAATTATTTATACTTTGATCCCAGCTATTATTATATATACCATTTTTTACTAATTCTATATCATGGTCTTTTTTGCAAATTTGTCTCAATTCACTCAGTGTGATTGCCGTAGGACAAGACTGAGTGACAACTAAATTGACGTAATTGTCGTCATCGAAGGGACGTGGTAGACACTGACTAGTACTTAACCGTGATAATGAATCAGCAATATTTTTCTTGCCAGGAACATATACAATCTTAAAATTATATGATTGTAGGCGTAATACCCAGCGCTCGATTCTTGCACACGGTTTAGATTTTGGCCCAAATATTACTTCTAGCGGCTTATGGTCGCTACAGAGTTCAAAACTATCCTTCCCAAACAAATACATATCGAAATGTTCGACAGCCCAGACTAATGCAAGAGCCTCTTTCTCAGTCTGGCAGTAACGCTTTTCTCGGTCCGTGAGACTTTTATTTCCGTATGCAATTATACGTGACCCGCTAGCACCATGCTGTACGAGTACGGCCCCTAACCCTACCGGACTAGCGTCTGCAAAAACTTGAGTTCTGTCTTGTGGATCATAGTAGCCTAAGGTTGTGATTTGAGTCATAGCCTGTTTTAACCCAATAAATGCCTCTGCTTGTTTTTTATGCCAGTGTGAAGTAATATCAGTCCCCTTGCCTAATTTCAATCTCAACAATTCGCGTAAAGGTTCAGTCCATGTCGCTAGATTAGGAATCCACTTACCTACATAGTTCACTAGTCCTAAGAAACTCTGAACCTCTTCAATAACAGTGGGTTCTCTAAATGACTGGATTGTTTTAACGTATTTGTCAAGAGGCTTTATGCCATTGCCTGACAATTGATGTCCTAAAAATTCTATTTGTTTTACTCTTAAGGCACACTTGGCATCATTAAGAAGAACTCCGTTTTCCTTCAAGACTTGTAGGGTTTTATTTAATCTAACGTCATGTTCAGCCTCGTTGACGCCAAAAACGACAATATCGTCGATGAAGTTAACTACACCTTCGCAAGGCAATAGAATTCTTTCTAGTTGTTTTTGAAAGCATTCAGGTGCACATGAGATGCCAAACATAAGGCGTTTGTATCTAAACAATCCGTGGCTACTAATGAAAGTTGTAATGTGCCTGCTGTCTTCACTTAATTCAACCTGATGAAATGAGTTTTTTAGGTCTAATTTTGAGAAAATCTTCGCATTTCTAAACTTGGGAATTAGTTGTTCCATAGTTGGCAAGGGATACTTTTCTCTTATAATGGCTTTATTGGCTTGTCTCATATCTACACAAATTCTAATATCCCCATCCCCTTTGAGAACGGGTACTAAAGGAGAAACCCAATCAGACGGACCATTAACAGGTTCTATTATATCTGTATCAATTAATTCCTGAATTTTTTTATTTATTTTAGTCTCTAAAGGGATAGGAACTCTTCGGCAAGGTTGAGAAATCGGTTTGACGGATTCATCTATAGGTATATGAATTTTAACATTTTTAAATTTTGGGAACGTACCATCGAGTGCATTTACTCCTAGTCCTACTTTTAGCACACCCAGTTTAGTTGCAGTGTCTTTCCCGAGTAAACATTTAGTTCCGTTTTTTACAACATAGAACGTTGCTTTTTCCACTCTAAATCCGTTGCCAACCACTATGGAAGAATCAAAAGATCCTAGAACTGTTAAAGGTTTTTGACTTCCGTAGGCCATAAATGTTTTCTCCGGATTTTTTACTTGATTCTCGACTCGTACTCCACTGTTCTTAAGAATCTCCCAAGTTTGATCAGTTATAACATTACATTTGCTGCCTGAATCAATGAGCATATCTAATTTGACGTTTCCTAATACGCATGTTATAAAATCGTCATCATCGAAATGGAATATGTAATCAACTTCTTCAGCCAATTTAGTTTTGGGTTTTTTAGATGCACTAACAGGTTTAGGCGAGATGTCATCAAGTTTACGTTTGCTGGCTCTGGTTCTACAACATTTACGAAAATGTCCCGTAAATCCACACTTAAGACATTTTTTGTCTTTCGCTGGACAACATTTACTATCGCTTGTGTGATTTCCAGTGCAACGCGAACAAGGAACAATGTTTAATTTTCTTTTTGTAGCTTCTATTCGATTAATAGACAAATCTTTATGAGACCCAAGTGAATCGAAGTTACTTAGTTGGCGGTGAACGGTTTCTAAAGCATTTGCTTCAAAAATAATTTTGTCGAGCGTGACATCATCACCAAAAGTAAGAATTTTTTTCCTTAACTCAACCGACTCACACTTTTCTGTGATTTGATCCATCATGTTCTCCTCGGGAGCAGTGAATTTACATTTAGCACACTGGTGCCTAAGCCTGACAAGAAACTTATCAAATTTTTCACCATTTTCCTGTTTGATGAGCCTAAATAGGTGACGTTCGTAGATGCGACTTTGTTTCGGGGCAAAGTATTTGTCTAATTTATTTATTGCAACAACGTAAATGTCGTCCTTTCCATCAGTACTTTCTACGTGTGCCCCTGGAATATTGTAATAAATTTCTTGTAGGGCCAATCCACCCATATGTAAGAGCGTTGCCCTTTTCGCCTCCGGCTTAGTAACATTTGTCGCGGTCAAATATAATTCTAGTGCTCGTTTCCACTTTTCCCAGCGTAACCCAACGGAAGCCGGTTCACCCTCACAGTCCAAGAACTCCAATGGGGGTATTTGCGACATCTTATGGGGCTGCCTGTGAAAACGAATTTACTTTTTATAGGTACCGTTCGCATTTTCACCGAACTACCTGTTTATTATTATTATTATTATTTTTTTTTTTTTTTTTTTTTTGTGTAGGTACCGTTCCGGTTTTCACCGAACTACCTGTTTATTTTATTTGTAGGTACCGTTCCGGTTTTCACGGGACTACCTGTTTATTTTATTTGTAGGTACCGTTCCGGTTTTCACCGAACTACCTGTTTATTTTTTATTTGTAGGTACCGTTGCGGTTTTCACCGAACTACCTCTTAATCTATGCAGCTGATTATAGCATTTTTACATCATTTAGGTACCATTTGGTTTATCAAACTACCTCTAACATTTCGCGTATACCTCAAAAGTAAGTAATAAACAAAGTCAAATAAATTTCAATCATTCTAGTAGGTTTATTCCTTACAACAATTTACTGAGGTACGCTTGACTTTTGTTTATGTAACATTAGTACATTGTAGGTATTAATCACAAGACATTTAAGATTTCGATGCGAATTGTAAACAACCGTGGCATGGCATGTAGGTAGACACTTTTGTTTATGAATGTGTGAACGTTGATAGGCAAAATTTTAAAACACATTGTTTCGACTTTTTTTTTTTTTCCTTAGCAAAATTTTGTAACAATATACTTTGAAGGGAAAAATGCATCGTCATGCCACAGCGATACAAGGAAATCAGATACAGCCATTGTGATTTATTACCTCATAATAGGTTGTTTCATGGTACATACCTCAAGCTTCCAGTCACTGGCAGGGTCGCCACTTGTACAGGTCCGTTTTAGGTACAAATGAAACAATATATATATGTAGTTCAATAACACACCCGCTCGCTCGGCGGTCGTACGGAGAGTGCGGGACACACAGCCAGCTTGCTGTGCCCCCACCGCGGCACGCCTCGCCAGTAGGTGTTACATTTATTAACCATATATTACAGTATCAATGGAAATTGGCGCGCAGTTATTTTTTCTGCGCCTGGCGCCGCGGCGCGGATATGCGCGCGCAGGTGCTTCGGCAATAATGAGACTTAGGTGAAATTCCTAAACAGCCAATGCGAAATAATATAAATATGTCCTTATTTCACTCAAATTCGTGTAAAATATTATCCAAAATAAGTAATTTTATTCAATTAAAGTTTTATAGGTGTATATTGTGTATGTTTTTCTATATTTATCACATCAAATAAGAAATATAAATTTATTAATAAAAATATTATTTGTAAGGTAAGACTACACAACCGTATTAAAATTTTTTTTTTTAATTTATTAAGGCTTTGGCAAAGCCATCAGCCTAAACATGAAGTTTTAATATGTTTCTGTAAATATGGCCGCCACAAAGAGGATAGGCAATTTGAGGCGGCGTGCTTGGATTGACTCGGGATTTCTTAAAACGGGCCGATACGGGTATTTTATTTCGAGATTCGTATAATTTCGCGTTTTAATCTTCGATTAAGGCACAATAGCACTATCCTATTCCACTTTAAACTAGATTTCACAAAATAATTGAAAGTCAAAATAAAAACGACACTTTTCCCTCCAAAAGGTCCAGAGCGAATCGACACAACAACCGTATTAAACAGAAATTAAAAAAAAAACTGTGACCCTGTTTGTTTGGGATTACTGTCATTGTAATTTGAATCTTATAATATGTAGGTTAGAGCTGTTTTTTTAATAGACCAAGTTAATTTCAAAGACATAACCCGGATAATTTAAGAATGCATAGTTTTAATACATAGGCCTTGTTGTGAGATACATCTTAATCCGGTTAAGCCTATACTTATTAGTCTTATTACACACACGTTTTGTAATATAATTACAAACGCGTGTTCAATAGCTAGGTTTATGAGCCTAAAAGCGATACAATAAGAAGCCCGTTACGAGCAAATGTGTTGAAAAGATAGTTAGATACCCTTAAAATGTAGGAATGAAATAAAGTATACCTACCAAACGTAG